ATGCCTTTGACCGACCCTTAAACGATCGTAAATCTTTTACGAGTATACCTATTCTGATAGTTTTCGACGTCCCGAATCCATTTCTGAAGTCTGTTTTGTCAAATTCGAATCCGAAGGCCTCCAAATTGACGGTCAAAGTGGTTGACTTTGACCAAGAATCTGAATTTTCGAAAAGTCATATTTTATGTTTTTTGACGTCCTGATTCCGATTCCGCAATCCGTTTGGCCAAATTCAGACTCGAAATACCCCAAAATGATAGTCAAACCCGAAAAATGCTTATATACTTAAGAATTTTAGTTTTGAACAATTAAGTAAGATTTGAGGCTGATTAATTATTATTGTTTGAAGGTACAAGAGACTCTCCAGATCGTTCAACAGCTCGACCCAGTTCTTCTAGATCAGTTAAACCACGTATACCAGTATTCACCCGTTCGAAAACTGTAGCAGAGCGTGGTGAAACCAGCAATCAGTAGATCTACTATCTGAACCCATTATCGAGGTATATTCCTGTTTACTACATAATGGTTTTATATGTTTTGAAATATGGTACATTGAAATCTATGGATTATTGTTGTTGGTACACTGATTTATTGTTGATGATTTATGGACTTTGATGACTTGTATATGGATATTGATTTTGGGATGGATTGAACTATAATTGTATAGCTCTGATCAAGCTAATAAACGGGCCTAATGTGACTCTTGAGGGCCCCAAGATGTTTCATTAGGTCGGCTTTCCTTTGCTGTGTGCTTATGGTAAGCTATATGGACTTATTGACTTGGGCTTAAGGATACAAGCTTCATAGCCTATCCTTAAGTCAGCTTTCTTTTTGCTATGTGCATAAAGTAAGCTATATGGAAAATAATTTTGGGAACTACTGATGGTGTACCAGAAAAGGGTTTAAACTATGATTTTCAAAAGTTAAACTCTTTTACGAATTTGTGAGATTTACTGGACTATGATTTGTTTAATGTACCTATTGTGATTTTATGGTAATGTTGGGACACACTGAGCCTAGCTCACCTTTCGAAAATGTTTTTCCCCTTTCAGATACTGTTGGTTAGATACCTCGGTTAGAGCACTTAGAGGATCAACATATCTCTTGAAGTATATTTGATTGTAATATTTTAATCTTGCAAGTTGACTTTATTCTGGTGACATGGACCTATTTTAAAGTATTGGATTTTATAATGATGATACTTTTACTATTACTATTCAGTTTATTGTGGTTTTGATTTTTAAGATATGTTTTAAATTAATTTATTACTGATTGGTTTTATATTTAAGAGTTGAGTTTTAATAGTATAATTTATTATAATTTCATGTCATGAATAATGTGATTTTACATTGATTGGATAACGGTTTTGGAAAATGTCTTTGTGAACTACTAGACTTAGTCGAAACGCATAGGTCGGGTCTAGGGGGTTACATATTTTCTATTGTTTGGGTTAATATTTCCATTTTGGTCACACGCCAATGTATAATTTTACCAATTTTTAACTACCACAATAATTTCTCCGTCAAATATTAACGACAGATGATTTGATTGACACCATTTAAATAGTTAAATGATGTTATTAATAAAATTGAAAGATCGACAGTGAAATTAAACTTGTCCCATAATTAAGTGGACACTGTAGTTTACCCTAAGGCCTAAATTAGAAGTCAAGTGATAAAAGAAACGAATTCGAAAATGTTAGAATTAGTATAGTTTATAATTTAGTGGTCAAAACAAAAGTATGGTCAAAATTAAAGGTCAAGTGACCCTATAAATGTTGATTACGTATGCAATCATGATAATAAGTGCAATGAGTGAAGGAATAAAGAAGACACAAGTAGGATTCAAAAGATTAGGTGGTGCGACGTTTTAGTATACGGTTAAAATAAGGTGGTATCGATTTTATTATTATTTTAAATAATAAAATCGGTAAAAATGGTCGAAAATATAATTTTTTTACCGATTATAATTACCTATATAGGTAAACGCAGTAAAAAAATTCAGTCAAAAAAAATGATATTTTCGGTAAAGCGCTACCTAAAACATCATTTTTTTGACGGATTTTTTTACCTTGTTTACCTATATAGGTAATTATTACCGGTCAAAAAATGATATTTTCGATCATTTTTTTACCGATTTTATTATATAAAATAATAACAAAATCGATACCATTTTATTTTAACCTTATACTAAGGCGTCGCACTTGAACGTTTTCCATTAGGTGATGTAAGGGAATATTAGGTAAAACGCTTCTTGTGCGTCAAGAATCGCATTTAGCAGGCTAAATTAGAAAAATAATGAAAGAAAATAGAGCATTTCTTAAATATATTTAAGGAAATATCACATGTTCTATAATAATTGGACAAAATAATCGTGTGATGGAGGGAGGGGAAGCCGCCCACGGTTTATGATTATTTTGGTACAAAATTCAGGACCACATTGAAAGAAAAGGAAAATACAAGGGCCAACAATAAATTACATTAAATTTATTCAAATAGAAAATAAGATAAACTACCCGTTTAGTTCTAATATTTTTAACGGCGGTTATCAAATTGAAACTTAAACTAAACGTTAGGTATCAATTAGTTCGTTTCGGTTTATTAAGAATTTTTTTGATCAATTAACAACGCATACATCCTGCAGATACAACTACTCGAACTTATAACCTTTAGAGAAAATAATATTTCATTTTATTACCGAGGCAACTTGGTGGGTTCCATTTGTTACTTGTATTATTAATACATTTAACACTCATAAATTTGTGTATTGGTTTTTACGAGTATTTAAATATATCATTCGTAATTTTTTAATTGAGTGGTTAGGGATAATGTCCATTTATGAATTGTTGTTGCTTGCTTGGTTTGATTTGTGTTTTTGTAGTGAATTTTCTGTAATATATTTTTGGGCCCTGTTAATCTACTTTTCTTATAATTTGGGCTTTACTAACTTTTGACCCTTATATTTTTTTCTTTCAATTTGATCCTCAATTTTCACACTAAATCACACGGCGACTTTGCCTAATTCACCTCCACCACACGATTAGTTTGCCCAAATTATAGAAAATGCTCTATTCTCCTAAATATATTTCCGGTTACAAAACAAATATCTCCACCATTCCACAGCCATAAATTCCGGACTTTAATGCTTTGTTTTCACGTGATCTTTAAATTATTTTTGTATTTATATAATTTTTAATAAATTCATAAATTATTTTATAAAAAATGATATATTTACGTTTCCATACCTTTTAATAAATTTTAACTGTTTTTTTCCGTATTATATAATCAGATTAATTGAAATGTTTCCTAATTTGTTCTGAGAACATACAGTAGGAAAACGACACAGCAAAAGACAATATCTGACATGGAAAACCTCAATCTTTTTCATACAATAAATTAGCATGTCGTTAAAAGCTGCCGATTGGCCGGCCGGGGACGTCTTATTAGTCATCTCCATTTTACCTAAAGCTGTAAACTAGTTGAATTGAGTTAGAGTACTCGATAACTTGAAAAAATGATTTTCACTATACCTAAAAATTCACAAGTTTAAAATTATTAAGTTTAACTCGAATTTAGAATAAAAATTTGAAGCTCGACTCAACTTGAAAATTTACAAACTTAAAAATTTTAAGTTCGACTCGAAATAAAAAATTGAAACTCGACCCGGGCTATAAAAAAACTTAAACTCGACCCAGGCTATAAAAAAACTTAAACTTTAAATATTCTCACACTTAGCTCGATTAATGCTCAAATTCGATATTGAAACCTAAACCTTAATTACATGAAAATCTTGTTTTATATTTTAAAAAATATAAATATAAATATTAGTAATAATTTAATTTTAAAATATAAAATTTTAATATATTATTTTTTGAGTTGGTGTCAACCTTTTTGAGTCGGATATCATGTACTTTGCTTCGGGCCGTTAAGAATTCGAATCGAGTACATTTGATTCGAGGGTTGATCAAACTTTGACCAGATCGATCTTGAATAGCTCATGATTTGTCTCATCTCACTAAAAACTCTAATTCTACTTGAAAACGTAGTTAAGGTTATGCATATTTAAATATTTATAGACATTTCTAATGAAAAATATTTATTTATTTTTATTAATATAATATTTTATTTTGAATATTCAAATTACTATTTACAATGAAATATAATCTTAGTAGTGTGTATCGATATATAATTTTAGTGATATGTATCTTTGTGTACACTCATTTTAGAATTTCACCTCTTAATTCACGCGTTTGATATTTTTTTAATTTAATTAATAAATTTTAGTCAGGTCTATATTAATTTTAAAATTTGTCAAATTTATTATTTTATATGCAATTAAGTATCTAATTTTCTTAATAATACAATTAGGTAGTTAACCTTTTCGGTGTATTTAAGTATCAATTTTTTAAAAAATTATACGTGTTCAATTTTGATTCGCTCATAATTACGAGTTTAATGTTGTTTAGTTATGCATATAATAAATGCTAAAAAAAATAACTACTAAAATTTTAAGCAAGAACAATAGCATATCTAAAAATATTTTTAAAGATAGACACACATGCATTAATAATATAATTTTTTGTATGGGTGAATAAAAAAATTTCAGCGTGAGCACAATCAATAACGTAAATAATTAACTAAAGAAATTTTGAATTTTAAAGTGAACGTGTCCACCCTAAACTAAGAATGGATTCGCAGCTGATTATACCTTTTCTTAAAATATTAGTTACTAATTGCGCCAAAAAATATTAAACGTTGGGTATTGTACCAAAAAAATTAGATATCTAATTACACTAGGGAAATTGAGTACTACATTGCATATGTGTGGAACTTAAGTACCAATAACTATATTTTAACCTATTTATTTATACATAGTCTAAATTAATTATTCAACTAATAAAACTCTCTTCTCCAAGCACTGCAAGACAAAAACGATAACATATTAAGTCGATAAAGATTCCATTATTTTCTTACATAAACAAACCCACTTCTTATATATTCCAAAACCTCATTTCTGAAATCCTAAAGAGAATCATCTAATTTTTTTTACCACTATGGCCAATTGCAGCCCTTCTTCTGATCAGAAACCAGGTGATTAATTCTTCTGTTTTTTTTTAATTAGTGTTCTTCGGGTGTTTTTGAACAATTTCAGCTTATTTGTTGCTTTGTTTCTTCTTCGTTTGAGTTGGAAGATGAAATGGCTTCAATGGAGCATGGAAGTGAAAATGATGTTAAAGTTCATGTGTTCTCATCATCATCAGAGGTTAATACTTTAAACCCAAAGCCCAAATTTTTATTTTCCATTTGATTTTGGGTCTGTTTTTTCTTCAATGGGGGAAAAAAGTTTGGTTGTTCAGCAATAAAAAACGTTACGGTTGTGTCATCAGTTGATAGGAAAGCTGCACGAGAAGTGGAGTCCGGAACAGAAGAAACCGTATCCGGCTATGTATTCCAGCGTTGTCGGAGGGATCATTCTCGATCCTGCCATGATGGTGATCCCCATTGATGATCACATGGTTCATCGAGGGCACGGCGTGTTCGATACGGCCGTCATTCTAGATGGGTAGGTTCGTGGTTTATCTGTTTTCCGTACAAAGGAGATTGATAGTTTAGGATCCTGTTTGATGATTGAATGAATCAGGATGAAATTTCAGGTTCATGATAACTCTTTGATGCGTTAGTTAACATATGTTTATAAAGCTTAATATAAACTGTCCTGTTTCTGTAGCTATCTCTATGAGCTGGATGCTCATTTAGATCGCTTCCTTCGATCAGCATCGAAAGCAAGAATCACGTCTCCGTTTCCTCGATCGACTCTCCGTAGTATTCTCGTGCAGTTGACTATGGCGTCCCAGTGTAAGGAAGGAACTCTGCGTTACTGGTTGAGTGCCGGTCCGGGTAATTTCTTGCTTTCTCCTTCTGGATGTCCAAAATCTGCATTCTACGCTGTAGTCATCGATGACGTCGTCTCGCAACACAACGACGGGGTTAAAGTGATAACCTCGACTATCCCTATGAAATCGCCTCTTTTCGCTACAATGAAGAATGTGAATTACTTGCCAAATGTTCTTTCAGTAATGGAAGCCGAAGACAAGGGTGCATTTGCTTCGATTTGGGTTGATGAGGAAGGTTTTATCGCCGAGGGTCCGAATGTGAATGTTGCATTTATAACCGATGATAAGGAGCTTATTTTGCCTTCGTTTGATAAGATCCTAAGCGGATGTACCGCAAAAAGGCTTCTCGAATTAGCACCTAAGTTGGTCGAACAGGGGCGTCTTAAAAGTGTCAAAACTGCCGATCTTACCGTCGAGGAAGCCAAACGTTCGACTGAAATGATGTATATAGGAAGCACCCTACCGATATTGCCGATCATTGCGTGGGACGAACAGCCCATCGGAGATGGTATGTAGGATTTTCGGCCTAGCGACTATGTATTAGTTCCGTTGTTCTTACCAAAGTAAGCTTATTTTGATCTCTTGATGCAGGAAAAGTGGGATATTTGACAATGGCACTCTCCGATCTGCTTTGGCATGATATGGTGGCCGGCCCCGATACACAGAGGCTCTGCGTGCCGTATATTAACTGAATCCGGCATTCGTCAAGGGTGCTTGGAAAGGGCTGATGCTGCTAGGCGTCTCACTAGTTATTATTCCAGCTGCATGTCCTTGCCCCGTCTGCTTTAGTTTTGCTTCTTTCAAAATGAGCGAGCCGAAAGGTTCCAAATAAGAGGCCCATCTCGTGTACTATTGTGCGTGTTATTTAGTAAAAACATAATGTTGAAGACAAAATGTGATTTTCCAGCAACTCTGTAAACATCTTTTTTAACAAACTCGAAACACAGTTAAATATGGTTGAAACAATGCAATCACAGAAGATAGATATATAAACATGATACTGATATAAAAACTATCAAAACTACGTCATAAATATATCATGCTATTATATTTTTATTTTATAAACATTTAATTTAATTGTGTATTGAAATTATTGTTAATTATAGAAGTTAAATTCAAAGACTATGATTGTTTTTGACTTGATTACAATTCTTACATTCATTCATGAATAAATATATGTAAACTTAATATTTTAAATTCATTTAAAAAAAAAGAACTATTTTCATCAGTTCAATAAAAATATAAAATTGGACTATTAATGAATAAATATAGTTTTTAAAGATTCTCACTTACTTCGTATCTTAAAGAAGAAAATCAACTAAATTGAAAATAGACATTAAACACTGCTTGTAGTTTCCAGAATCTTTTAACTTATCACAGTACAATTGCTTATGATTCACAATTACATGTAACCATCTTTACACTAAACATTAAACCTTCATCCAGACTGATTTATCATATCTTAAGACGAGATCCACAAATAAAGTCGCAGTGTAAATATCCGTAGAGAAGCCCTAACCGACCATTTCCACAAGTAGTCGTGTTGCCTTCAAGGTATAAATGTTTCGAAAAAGCCCCTGAATCATTACATTATAACAACGGCTATTAGGCAAACAATCATCATCTCCCATGCTCCTAAACAGTTGGTATGCTTCATCTGGCAATCTCTCTTTAGACAATCTACCAATCATAATGGTATACGTGTAAACAGTGGGTTTTAAACTGTTGAATGACAGTTTATGAAATAATTCCTTCGCAACATCAATATGTCCGGCTTTGCACAACCCATCGATCAGATTATTATAAGAGACTATATAAAGTTCCAGTCCGTTGTTCCACATTACTTGAAAAAGTCTCAATACCTCTTCGAGTTTACCTGTTTGGAATAAACCATCCAGCAAAATCGAACATGTCACCATATTTGGAACTAGTCTAGAAGCAAGCATCTTCCTCAAAAATTCTCATGCAGTTGAAACTCTCCCTAACTGAAACAGACTTTGCATAAGAGTACTGTATGTGACAGCATCCGGGTTTGGCCCTTTTTGAGACATTTCATCAAAGAGTTCCACTGCTTCGTCTAACCTGTTAGCTTTGCAATATCCATTGACCATTGTGTTGTAACTAACAACATCAGGTGCACAACCCTTCTCAATCATCAACTGTAGAACTCCTCTAGCTTTATCTACTTTGTTTAGCAAGCAATGGCCGTTTATTAATGCAGAATAGGTAACAACATCAGGCTCAATGCCTTGTTTTATCGTTTTGTCAATAATATCTTCAACTTCAGAGATCATCCCTTCTTTGCAATATGAATCAATCAATGCATTATACGAGACAATATCAGGCTCAATGCCTAGCTTTATCATTGTGTCAACAATATGCTCAGCTTCAGAAACCATACCTTCCTTGCAATGTGCATCGATTAATATATTAAATGTGACAATATCGAGGGAAATACCGTTGTCCACCATTTCATTCAAAAGCCTTGTTGCCTCCATTTGCTGGCCCGAATCATACACACCTCGAATTAGGCAATTGTGAGTAATGGTGTTTGGTCTAATGCCCTTAACCTTCAATTCAGATAAGAGATCGAGAGCCCATGCTTACAAAGACAGTCGATGACAGTGCTGTATGCAACAATATTGGGTTTGAAACCTCTTCCTTCCATCAGCCTTAGAAACCTAACAGCTTTATCTGTACTGCCGATCTTACATAAACCCTTAAGAACTGTATTGTAAACAATTAAATTAGGTTGATACCCCTTTTCAACCATTTCATCAAACAAACTCACAGCCAGAGAAATCTTACTTTGCTTACAAAGTCCATTAATCAGAGTGGACAGAGTTACAACACTAGGTTCAACACCTAACTTCGGCATTTCCCCCAAAACAGAATACCCAAAATCAACACGACCTAATTGAGAAAAGCAATTAATCAAGATGTTAAAAGAATAAACATTATGATAAACTCCTGGAAATTCCATCCGGCTATACATGGAAATCACAAGGGCGTAATGTTTCATCCTAACAACGGCAGCTAATAATTTAGAGAATTCAACTATGGAAGGCTTCGGATACTGCTCAATCATCTTGTCAAACACACTCAAACCATCACCAACACTGTGGAAACTATCATATTTTTTTCGCTTTCCACTTACAGAGATGGATTTTTTTTATTTAAAGCATCGATGTGGGTAGCAAAGGGGTTAACAGAAAAAGAACAAGTAGAGTGGAAATTAGAAAGATTCCTTCGGGCATTGACAACGGGAGAAGAAATAAGCTTTCCCATATCTTGAAATGGAAAAGGAAAGGCAGTTGCTGAGCTTGAAATAAGACAGCAAATGGTGGACAACTTTGTTTTTTCTCGCCTCACCTGTAGAGAAGGGATAGTAAAAGCTTTCCCGACCCTACACAATAGCAAACAGAAGGTTGTTTAGGGGATCTTCCCTCATTTGGGCCGCGAAAACGAAACTAAACGAGTCATTCTTTGTGATTCTCTGTCGGGAAATTGTAAATTAAAGGGTAAACTATATGGGAGGTCTCTTATGTTTTTGGTTTATCTGAGTTTGGTCATCAGTTTAAAAAAATGATTTTTGGTTGATTAGTTCGATTTTAGTCCCTCAACTGTTAACTCTCGTTAATCTATTAACAGAAGTTTGAATTGACAATTTCAAAAAACCATAATTTTCTTTTTCTTTTTCACTTTTTCTTCTTCTTCCACACTTAACTGTCACGAACACCAAAAGTGACGTGGCTAGTAGTAAGAAATACTTCTGATAAGTACCTCTACAACCACTTTTCGGTCGTCTTCTTTAAGTTTAATGGGAAGTGGGAAATTGTTTTGTTGCGGCAAAGTTAAGCATTCTTACCTATGTAGAAGAATTACTTTTTAATTGCAAACTATTACTTTTGTTAATGGATTGACGGTTGAAGGACTAAAATTGAACGGACTGATAACGTAAATGAATATTGTAGTTAAGGTCACTTTTGTTGCATTTTCTTATGATTTGGCAATTCAACTATTGATTCTTATGATTTGGTCATTAATTTATAGTTTCTAATTTTACTTATGAAATTTAATTAACCTTTAAAAAAACTCTTTTTTAGCCTCAAACTTTTATTTGATTCATTTTCTTCATCATTTTAAAAAAAAATATCAAAAACTATCTCAACTTCTCTTTTAACTCACAATAATGACAATATCACTACTCAGAGTCAATGTCACTCCAACCACCTTCTTTAATCGATAATGAAAATGAATCAATCTTTCTCTATCGTATTTCCTCTTTTCTAGAATAATTTTATTTCCTTGAATAAAAAGGTTTCTTATTAATATTGTAAACTATCAAACTATTATTATCCAATACCATCTTCAATCAAAAGCAATGTTGTTTGATTCATCTTTTTCTTCTCTATAAAATGATCGGTTTAAACTCGTTGGAAAATATTTCAAAATCCTCAAATTCTAAAATGAAACTAATTTTTTTTTTAAAAAAATATCTTTCATCGTTAATTGTTAGATCAACTTGACACCAAATCATGTTACTCTCTTTAATTTGTGTTACACATTTACGGATAGAATTCATTGATGGCTATTCTGATCATCAATAGCTTGTCGTGGCCAAATTAAGGGTTTATTTATTGCAATAATGTCTTCGAGTGTGTGGCAGATAATTTTAGGTTAAAATATAGGGTAAACTACATAAAACAATTGAAGTTCGCAATGGAGACACCAACTGCAATCCCAACATGTTTTTATGGAAAGTTAGCTACCTTACACACAACTTAGATGAATAATAATGCTGGAAGGAGGTTCTCTAGGTTCATTAACCATGGGTGTGTGTTTTGAAGAAATTGTAAATTTTTATTTGGTATGATCCCAATTGAGTCCACGTTCACATACTGCTATAGTTGGTTTGCTAAGGAAGATGAGAGCCATGGAGAGGGGAAGAAGGTTTGAGCGAGTGACTTAAGTGGTTTGTTTAAGGATTTTGTTGTACTTGATTATGTTGGGTTAAGAAAGGGGTTATTTAGAATTTAGGGTTTAGGGTATTCTTCTTAACATGGATGGACAACCAATGAGGATAGATCGGAGGTTGCTTTGTGAAAAATGAATCAATATATCCTTAAAAATAGCTTACAACTCATCCTAAAATAATCCATATTAAATTAAAATAATTTTAATAAGATATATTCGGTAGTGTGATTACACCTTCATTCTTAATATTTTATAACTAATAAATTTATGACATATTTTAAATAAAATAAAATAAAATAAATATTAATATAAGTATTATTTTTTAATATAGTAATACCTTAATTGCTAACAGCAGACTAGTTTTATTATGACCCTAGCATTTACTTATAAAGGCATAATAAGCCTATAGTTTAGTTTTAACAGTTTTTCATGGCCTCCGTTGTCGACATAATTAACTATATTATTAACATAATGAGATATCGCCGTAACCATTTTTAGAATCGGTATTCTGATCCGTCTAGAAAAAAGAAAAGAAAAGAAACACAATCTGTGAATTTTAAAAACTTTATTTGGTAACAATATTTCCATTAGAATTTGAAAATATCAGTTTATTTTTCTTTTAGAACACAATTTGAAAAGCAAATAAAGGTATCATGCTGCTTATTATTTAGTTGTGATATTTCTACACTTATATTTTAATCATTAAAAATTAGTTTGTAAACAAAGATCAATTGGTGTCGTGGTGTAGTTGGTTATCATGTCAGTCTTACACATTAGAAGTCTCCGGTTCAAATCCAGGTGACGCCATTGATTTTCAAATTTTTAGCATTTTCTTCTTTCGATAGAAGGAGGAAAAATTAAGGGTGTGTTTGGTTCACGAAATGTAAGATTACCGTCGAGAATAAGATTATCAAAATGTAACATTACCTAACACATTACTCAGAATGTTGCGTTGTAGTGTTTGGTTAAAGAAATAAAAGATTATTCGAATGTATATTTTACCAAATTGTCCTTATTATATATTTGTTATTTTAACAAGTTGAATTCTACTATAATTTTACTATAATTAATTTATATATTTTCTTTAAAAATTTTAAATTCATAAAATTTATATAATTTTTTTACAAAATTAAAAAGATAAATAGGTTTAACGAAAGGTTAAAATTTTATTTTAACCCATGAACTTTATATAAAATTCTAATTATGAAATTTTTTTTGTGAATCTAAAATAATTTAAAGATAAATTTGCAATTTAACTTTCATAAAATTTTTTTTATTCAACGACAAAATAAGTATATTTTTGAATTTTTTTAAGGGCATTTTAGTCCAAAATATCGGGAATGTAACAATACCTAAGGGAATGGGGAATCACATTCCCGGTAATAAGCCCCCAAAATACCACTATTGAGAATAACTTATTACTCCAATCCAAACGAGAGAATGACATTCCATTCTCCCAGTAATCTTACATAACCTGATCCAAACGCCCCCCTAAAAGATCATGAAGTTGCCAGTGGTCGAACTCAGGTCACCCACGTGACAGGCGGAAATACTTACCACATAGTACACGACTTTAGTGGGGGCTAACTTGTTACAAACTATTTATCACAGTACTAGGACATTTTTAATGTTTATGATTTCAAGGAGAGCACTGTACTATACTCTGTCTGATCTTTACCTTGGATGAAATTTGACGGATTAGAGATACATGTTTTCAACAACCAATAGATGAAGGATGAGATTCCCCCCCCCCCCTCAATCAAAGTTTAATTTATGAATAATATAAAGTCCCGAACTGAGGATTTAAAACAAGTAGAAGCAAACATTAAAAGAAATCATGATCTGAGAAAGAATCAATGCTAATGCTAAGAGAAACAAACTGGTTCATTTGAGCCAATGCGTACCTGGTTTGGACAAGGACAAATGATCAGATATTCTTTTACAATTGCTTATTTCGGATCGAAATATCAGCTGAACTGAAACAGCCTACGTATACAACTCGCAAATCATTTGAGTACAGATTGAGTAATAACCATTAGTATACCCTTCCAACAAAGACTTTAATGAGCAAACCAATGAATGTTCATTGTAAAACAACCTCAATTCCTCCATAGATCAACTAAATAGAAAAGAGACTCAACACTCATTGTAGTTTCCAGAATCTTCAACTTATCACCGTACAATTGCTTATAAATAAATCGTTCCACAATTACAAGTAACCATCTTTACACTAAACCTTAAACCTTCATCAAGATTGATTTATCAGAACCTAAGATGAGATTCACAAATAAAGTGGCAGTGAAAATATCTGCAGAGAAGCCCTTACCCACCATTTCTTCAAGAACTTGTGCTGCCTTCAAGGTATAACCATTTTGAAGAAGCCCCAGAATCATTACATTATAACAACAGCTATTAGGCAAACAGTCATTGTCTCCCATGCTCCTAAACAATTGGTATGCATCGTCTGGCAATCCCTCTTTAGACAATCCATCAATCATTCTGGTATACGTGTAAACATCCGGTTTTAAACCATTGAATGAGAGTTTCTGAAATAATTCCTTCGCAACATCAATATGCCCAGCTTTGCACAACCCATCGATCAGATTATTATAAGAGACGATATTAAGTTCCAGTCCGTTGTTCAGCATAGCTTGAAAAAGTTTCAATGCCTCTTCGAGTTTACCTGCTTTGCATAAACCATCCAGCAAAATCGAACATGTCACCAAATTTGGAACTAGTCTAGAAGCAAGCATCTTTCTAAAAAATTCACATGCAGTTGAAACTCTCCCTAACTGGAACATGCTTTGCATAAGAGTACTGTATGTGACAACATCCGGGTTTGGTCCTTTTTGAGACATTTCATCAAAGAGTTCCATTGCTTCGTCTAACATGTTAGCTTTGCAATATCCATTGATCAACGTGTTGTAACTAACAATATCAGGTGCACAACCCTTCCCAATCATCAACTGTAGAACTCCTGTAGCTTTGTCCAATTTGTTTCCCAAGCAATGGCCGTTTATTAATGCAGAATAGGTAACAACATTAGGTTCAATGCCTTGCTTTATCATTTTGTCAACAATATGCACAGCTTTAGCAACCATCTCTTCCTTGCAATGTGCATCAATCAATGCATTATATGTGAAAACATCAGGCTCAATGCCTTGTTTAATCATTGTGTCAACAATATCTTCAGCTTCAGAGATCATCCCTTCCTTGCGATATGCATCGATCAATATATTATATGTGACAATATCGAGGTTAATCTTATTATCCACCATTTCATTCAACAACCTTGTTACCTCCATCTTCTGACCCGAATTACACATACCATGAATTAAGCAATTGTAAGTAATGGTATCTGGTTTAATGCCCTTAACCTTCACTTCAGAGAAGAGATGGAGAGCTTCCTTTATCAACCGGTGCTTACAAAGACAGTCGATGACAGTGTTGTATGCTACAATATCGGGTTTGAAACCTCTTCCTTCCATCATCCTTAGAAACTTAACAGCTTTATTTGTACTGCCGATCTTACACAAACCATTGAGAACTATATTGTAAACAATTAAATTAGGTTGATACCCCTTTTCAACAAATTCATCAAACAAACTCACAGCCTGATAAATCTTACCTTGCTTGCAAAGTCCATTAATCAGAGTGGACAGAGTTACAATATCAGGTATTTTCCCCAAAACAGAATACCCAAAATCAACCCGACCTAATTGACAAAAACAATTAATCAAGATGTTCAAAGAATAAACATCATGAGAAACTCCAAGTAATTCCATCCGGCTATACATAGAAACGACAAGGGCATAATGTTTCATCCTAACAACGCTTCCTAATAGTTTATTAAATTCCACGATGGAGGGCTTTGGGAACTTTCCAATCATCTTGTTAAACACAAAAAAAGCATCACGAACACTATGGAAGCCATCATACTTTATATCCTTTCCATTTACAGGCTTGGATTTCTTATCTAAAGCATTGATGTGGGTAGTAAAGGGGTTAACAGAAGAAGAAAAAGAAGAGTGGAAAATAGAAAGATTGCCTCCACCATTAGCAACAGAAGGAAGAATGAGAGAAGAAATAAGCTTACCCATATCTTGAAATGGAAAAGCAAGAGCTGAGATTGAAATGAGACAACTTCGTTTTTTCTCGCCTCACCTGTAAAGAAGAGTATAAAAGCTTTCTCGGCTCTACACAATAGCAAACATGAAGGGTTGGTATAAAAACATTACGTTGTGAATCTATACGTGTCCGTCCTAAAAAAAATTATATATATATTTTTGGATTCGTAGCTGTTGCATAGTATTTATGTGTTGTCAATAAATCATAAAAATTTATGAATAAATAATATTTTATAATCATTTTAAATTATTTTAAAACAGACTTACTAAACATATAATTTAGCTGATCAGGTAGACAATAAAAGGAATTGATTCACAAAAAAGAGTTCGGCACAAGCCCGGAGAGATAATGCCTTATTGTACCCCATTCTTGTATGTCAAATTATTGTTATTATATTTAATCAAACAATAATAATTTTTAAATTAATTGATCATTAAATTGATTAAAGTGTGTTCTTTGGATTTATTTGGTTCTATACCGATGAAAATTTATTTTATCTATGTTCACTAGCAGCAAATTAATTAATGTAAGAGAAATGAAAAGAAACACAATGAGTTTAGAAAATTTTATTTGGTAACAATATTTCCATTACAATTTGAAAAGATCAGGTTTTTTTAGAACACAATTTGAAAAGCAAATAAAAGTATCATGCGGCGTAGGTTGTTTAATTTATTAAGGTATATTAATTATAAGTTTAGTGGAATCGTTCGGGTTTCGTGGTGTAGTTGGTTATCACGTCAGTCTAACACACTGAAGGTCTCCGGTTCGAGTCCGGGCGAAGCCATATATTATCGTTTTTCATCTTTTTGTCCTTTAAAATATTGAAAAGGAGAAAAAAACATAAAATACGCCGTTCCCGGAGATCGAACCCGGGTAACCCGCATAACAGGCGGGAATACTTAATACTATACTACAACGACTTTGTTGAAAGCAGGTGTATTTTATTATTTTATAGCGTAGTAAAACATGTTAGTACTGTTCTTTCTGATCTCTATCTTGGATGAAATTTGAAGATAAACACTGAAGGATTGAATTAGAGATCCCATGTTTTGAACAACCAAAAGATGAAGGATGAGATTCCCCCCCTTCAATCAAAGTTTAACTCCTCAAATGAGGATTTAAAATACATCTAAACATAGAAAATTGCTCCAAAAGCCAAGCGGCATAACAAAAATAACCTTGAATGATTCGAAACATTTGATCTTTGAAGCCCACTTATCACCCCTTATAGACAAACCTTCAAACACCAAAAGCAAAAGGTATATAATCCCCCCCTTTAGCTCCATGCCACCATCAGCAGCGAAAGCGCATTAAAACAGCCTATTGGAATATACAAACCAAACCATTCCATCATCAAAATAAAGCATTATAAGTAGTACACGTCCAAACACTACCAATATGGCAACAACCGTTTTGGAGAACAACACTTGCCTCGGTCATCTCAATCAAGGGATACCACCCATACAACACTGGGAAACCCTCCCTTTTCACTATAGCAATCGTTGTAATAGTACGGACGCAACCCCTGCTAACTTACTCTACTTGTTAGAGAGGTTGTTGATTTTTACCAGTTTGGTGGTTCATCGTGTGGCTAAAGCTCTAAGTTGGATTCAGTGGTTAAAAAGTGCATTGTACTGAATCAAAGCATGCTACAAACAATGGCACTGAGGTTGATCACAATTCATTGCAGAAAACAAACAGATCCGAACCTCTGCCACATCCACCATCACCCTCCCTGTCGCCGTTGATTTGCATTGCCATTGTGGTCGGGATGAGCAACCTTCACTCAATGTCTACGAACATAGCCATGTTGGAGAAGTTTGAACATAGCCATTGTGGTGTCGCAGTGTTGATCAACATGAAGATAGATTGCAAATAAAATCCACTTAGGGAAACCATGATCAACAGAAAGATGATGAAACAAGCACCAACCCATACTTACTTTTCAGGTGTACAAAACTTCAAGTTCTTTCAGTTTCAGATGAAGGGTTGGAAGGTTGGGGTAAAAGTTTCATTAAATTTGGGTGTGTTCTTAGTCTCATTTCTTTTAAAAATATTTTTAAATTATTTATTTTATAACTGAAATCACTCAATAATTTTTTGAATCAATGCTTATTTAATTTAGAATTAAGTTAATGATATATAATATAAAGAATATTTTAGATGTAAATTAATAAAAATAAAAATCTATTAATTACATTGATTTAAATAATTAAAATTCAATTATTTTTATTACCCCATTTAGTTTTGGGTTGAGTTTTTAAAAATTAAAATAATAGCATTTAAAAGAAATCGAAACAGAGTGTTTATAGCTCCAATTATCTAAATCATCTAATTCAGTCGGTAGAATATAAGGTTTTAAAGGTCGTGAGATTGAATCAGACATTTTATAATTTAGAGGTATCCCACAAAATTATAGCTGCTCTCAACCAACCTACTATCGGGAACAAGGACAACCAACCATTTAAAAGATAAAGAGGTGGTGTTGATCGGAGAGTCGGGTGTCGGGAAATCGAATTTTTTGTCTAGATTTACGAGAAACGAGTTTAGCCTGGAATCAAAATCTACAATCGGAGTCGAATTTGCCACCCGAAGCATTCGGGTCGAGGATAAAATCGTTAAGGCCCAGATTTGGGACACCGCTGGACAAGAAAGGTATATTTTTAAAACTTCATTTTTATCATTACTCCCATTCCTCGTTTGCTTTGTTTTGGTTAACGGGGTTCTGGAATTTGATAGATTTGAGGAAAATGAGGTTTTTCTCTGCTGATTGGATTGGTATAATGCTTGGAATTTTGTATTTTTTTAGTCTGTTTGGTTGCTGAGTAAAATGTAGGAAAATTATACTCAAGCAGTTCTCATCTTTCCATTTTGTTGTTTAGTTCTATTTTTATAAGTTCAAAAAAATTTTTGAAGCATTGGAGGAAATGTTGGTAGTTCTAGATTAGTGTATTGCTTTGGCGAAATGGGTACATGGGTTTATTTTTTTCTTTGTTGGGTTGTTTGGTTGCTGAGAAAATGTGGGGATAAGTTGCATTCAGAATTTTCTTTTTAATTATAATGCATGTGGACTTGGGCTCGGTTTTTGGTGAAGAGGGGCATTTTTTGGATTGTGGTATTGATTTTTAAGGCTTAAGCATATTTGAAAGACAATTTTCATGATTGGCATAATGCAAACTCGATTTGAATTTTTGAAGTACAAATTTGCTTGTTGTAGGTTGTATGCAAAAATCCCAGACTGAGTTTACTAATTGATGAACTACAAAGGATATTATACTTGTGTCTAATTAATAAATGTTGCAGCTTTGATCCATTAGTGGAAAGGTGGAATAAACCTACTTTTCTGAAAAGTCATAGTTGACTCATGGTTTGTTTTTTCTTTTCCAAAAATGTATCATAGTATTTTTCGTCATTGCTCTAGGCTACTTCTGATTGTGAAGTTCTTTATGTTATTCTGAAATTTCAGACATTATTAGCTGTCTGTTTCAGTTATGATACATGTCCTGTATCTGTAACCATAGATGCCTGAACTTGTATGAAAGCATCGGTACAAGCATTCAAGGACATGCCTACATTTCTTTAACTCTTGTTTATCATGAATGAGGCTGGAAGAACGCTTGTGTTGCGTAATCGGGTACTTCGCAATAGAGCCATCTATGAATAGATAGGCGATGTTGCTGTTGAAAAGGATACCAAATGGAGGTTCCTTAATATCATATATTTTCCATTGAAATTTTTAACTGTGTCAGCTTTAGACATGCTTCCAATGTTCTACATTGACAGACCGATTAAATAAAATCTGTGTCTAGAACATGTCGAGCATGAAATGAAAATTCTGTGTTGTCTCTCCTTGAAATGAAGTTTCTGGAGGACTGAATTTCCAATAAACCGTAACACGTTTTATTATAAATTCTCAGTTGATGATGAAATGTCTTTATTGTCATGAATTAGTAAAGGGGAATCATGAAAATGCTGTTCTTGCTTGTACTTCTCTTTGACGATGAGAAATCAATAGAAGATTCTGATTTTGAATCTTGCCTTGCTTGCAGTGTCATGAAACTGCAGTGCTGTGTTGTGAATGCCTGATTCACAGTTTCTCCAATAAATGGATGTGTTTTTACAAGCTTTTCATGAGTTGATTTATTGTTATATTCTGTTCTAGATACCGGGCGATTACAAGTGCATATTACCGAGGTGCTGTTGGTGCATTGCTCGTCTATGATGTTACTCGACGTGTCACGTTTGAGAATGTCCAGAGATGGCTGAAGGAACTACGGGATCATACAGATTCTAGTATCGTGATTATGCTCGTTGGTAGAAATACCATTCATTGATGTTGATACTTCATGCTTAAATAAAAATATCTAATCTCTTTTTGGTTTCGATATAACTATCTACCATCGATGTTGTATAAGAATAACATCGATACTCGAGAGTGGTACTGCTACCCATTTAGGATATATGAACTATGGCATCGATACCAATAATTTGGTATTGACAACATTGATGCAATATTGATACTTTAATTTAAGTATTAATATTAAATTAATATATTAAAATTTAAATTTGGTCTAATGTATCGGTACTCTTCAGGGTGGTACTAATATCTCCCTACTAATTTGATGTTGATATCTTTTGTTTAGTACTAATTTAATTTAGGAAATTTGATTTGGTAATCATATTTCCATTACAAAGATATAAATTTTTATTTTGATTAAAGAAACTTAAATGATGAAATTTTATATAAAAAAGATGGTAAACCTGAAACAAGATAGTAAACAGAAGAAAGCAGAATGAGGCTAAAATGAGTGAGACTAGGAACCAAAACTGAATGCTACCCAACGAGATTCCATGCCCGCGGTGAATGGAAATGCATGCACATCCGTTCAGTAAAGCTCATTCTTCCAGGTTTTAGAAGTCCAACAAGTGAAGATTATTCCATTATGGTGATTAAGTTATAAATGTTTAACAGGTTGTCCCGGCTTGGAATAGTCATGTTCTTGGCAAACCCATTGATAACGGCTCTAGGCAACAGGTACAGGAAAGATGTCACTTGCAATCAACTGGAGTTGAGGATCTGCATGGTATCCTCAAAACTGGGATCTCAAGGAAGAAATAAATACACTATGGAATTTAGGACTCCTCGACGGTGTTGATCATGCTGCCGGAGTTGCCGTAACGGGAAATCCACAGAAACTAAAACCAACAGGCAGAATGATATTAAGAATATTTTATAGTTATAAAATATGGTTGAATCTAGAAGACATCAGGTTTCGTGGTGTAGTTGGTTATCACGTCAGTCTAACACACTGAAGGTCTCCGGTTCGAGTCCGGACGAAGCCATTTTTTCCTTTTTCAGCTTTTTTTTCTTTAAAAAGATAGAAAAGGAGTTAAAATTAAAAGACTACGCCGTTGCCGGGGATCGAACCCGGGTCACCCGCGTGACAGGCGGGAATACTCACCACTATACTACAACGACAACGTTGAGACTAGGTTTGTTATATTTATTTACAACCTATAAAAAAGAGTACTGGGACATATTTAATAATATGATTTCTAGGAGAGCACTGTACTTCTATTCTTTCTTATGTAAAAATAGATAATAGTAATTTGTTTATTTATGTCATGTTTGTATATTTTTATTTTCTTTAATAAATTTTTAATTTAATTGTGCATTGACATTATTGTTAATTATATAAATTAAAATTAAGATTATGATTGCTTTTCACTTCTTATATCAAATCATAAATAAATTTATACATACACTTAAAATTTTAATATCATTTTTAAAGATAAAATAACTATTTTGAACAGTTTCGTATAAATACAAAACCTTAATTAACCTTTAAATCCTTTTCAAAATCATTCATCAAATTACGGGGCATTTAAGGTATAAATTTATATTATGCAAGATGAATGCTTTTTAAAAGGATTTAAAAATTAATTTAGGTTTTTAGGTATAAGATATATTTCTGTGAATTTATATGTATGTTACTTTTATGATGCGTTTTTATTTTGAGTTAATTATATTTTTCATATATGTATTATATTGAATCCTTCAATATCAAATAAATAATTTATTTCTAAAAAAAATTATACATAAATAATTTCATCGTCAAGCATTTCACCTATTTTCGTCACGGAATTTAACATGACAACAATGGATTAATAAAAAATTTATTTAAAATATAATAATAAAAATTAGTTCTTAATATTTTACTTAATTTTGATTGTCCTTAATATTTAAAAATACATGAAACTTAAATATTTATTTTTCAAAAAGTATAAGAAAATTTCATACCAATAAATGATTGCACTTTTTTCCTAAAAAATCACCTTTTACTTGAGGCATAATTGCAAGATTAGTCCTTAAAAGTTCACTGTGTTAATCTTGCCTTCAATTTTTATAAAGTCGAGCTCATTATTTTGAAATTTGTTAAATTAAGTCCTTTTAATTCTTTATTCCGCCAAAGTGTAATAATATAGTTTATCCTCAATGTTTGATTGATTTTTCAATTTTACCCTTATTTTTTTTTAAAAAAAATAAGATGACTAATTTGAAATTTTTTATAATTTTCATTGTAAAAGAAATTATACTTTTTTCAAAAGTAAATATTTTTCAACTTATTTTCTAATACAAGATAATTATTAATATGAGGCAAAAAGGGGGGAAATCAAAACCCCAGTCCTTCCTCTTTATTTTCCTTTCTCATGCTCTCTAGGGAAAATATTGGACATATGGGTGCACGGGATTTGCTAGGCCGAGAAACAAAAGGTGTAAAGGTGTGGTGTGGCGTCTAAACATAAATATGGCACAATTATCATAATCATCAATATATTTAAAGCACTTACCGCCAGTTATGCATCAACATAGCTCAAATGAGAGGTATTAAACTTGCTCAAACATATTAACAAGATCAAATTTTTATATATAAACCATTTTTGTGAACATAAATCAAACAATTTTCTTATTTGTAAACTATGTGTTTAAATATCTCATGTTATGATATTAAACTTGATCCTACGATTAAACCCTAATTCGAACTCGAGACTCTATGATACCCCTACTTCCTCACTGAGCATAATCTCTCCCTTCCAAGCCAAAGCTATGCTCTTGGCCTACATATTTACTACGTTTCAATGTTAATACAACAGAAATGAACGACGAAAGCATGTAATTTGTGACGATCCAAAAGTAAATATAAATGTATCAGAATTGAAACTTTTTTATGGTATAAGAGCTTAAGTATACTAATGTATTAGTCGAAACATAGAAGATAGAGTTAAACTGATCATACTGATTTTTCTCAACCTGGATTATTTACGAGCTCCAGTTTTCTTCTGTTCTCTCGCTGTAAGAAAACAAATAGAAAACATATCAGCTTTCACATAAATTGTAAATATGCGGATTTTAGATCAAAATTTGATCTATGTTGCTTCGATTCTTTGTTTTACTTGACAGGTATTCAAACATGGATTCGAATAATATTTGTCCAAGAACCCTCCACATATGTTACCTGCGTTGGACACATACTTGTATCCAAAGCTGACATTCAAATCTGATGCTGATTCTCTAACATCAGAAATTTTGGAGTAATTAAATGCATGCATTATAATATAAAGGTGAGATAATTCGTGACGGAGCCATACCAGCTTTCTCTTCCTCTCTCTTCTTAGCAGCGTCTGCCCTTTGTTGCCGTATCAAGGCTAAGCGCTCTGTAATTGAAAAATAAATGTGAACATCAGAAAATACGGAAGAGAAGAGAGATGTAAACAAAGGAGTTGATGTCAAGCTGATAACTTGAAAACCAGCATTAATCATCTCTTTACTTCTTGCTTCTCAAAACCTCCATGAAAGACCGATCCAGATTGCACTTATGGAAGGAAGAAACGAGTTCTAAAAAATCCCAAGAAAAATATCTTATACGACTTCTCACAAAAATTTCCTAAAGGTTCCAGTCATATTTTAAAACCAAACGAGTAAACAGCTATAGAAATCATGTTACATATCCATTCTCTCCTCAGAAATCAAGTACTCCCATATAATGTTAGTAGTACAGAAAATGATCTTCCATATATGCTTAGACAAAATATGCTATCATTTGCGTCACACTTACATCGAGGATGGTTGACACAAAACACACAGTACTACTATAATAACTCAAAAGGGAGATGAGTTATTATTATCATTATTTTCATCCCCCCCTTCAGCACATAAGGAATGAACATAAATTCAACCTCAGCTATACAGGATCATATTCGGTTAACCAAAAAAGAAGCAAACCAGTCCCTGGAATGTTGAAGTATAATAATATTTGACAGGGGTATCAGAAGTCCTTGGTAATTTCAAATAGTCAATTGGGGTTTAAGAGAGACATTAATTTGTGAATCACGTGGTATCCACTAGTTACCTAAATCTTTTCTTGCTTGTTCAGTTTTCCCTTGTTCCTGCAGCTTCATGTATCGTTCGTGAGCTTTTTGCTTTTCTATTTCCTCTCTGCACTCATACATTGTAAAATAAGAGCATAATCCAAGTCAGTCTCAAAGGAAATAATTAATTAATACATCAGCAACCATTGCAAATAAAAATTCATAATAAGCACAATATATATAGCTTCGAAAGATGAAGATTTAAAAGCAAGAGCACCATATTTTGAAGCAAATAATCTACAGCAGTTTCAAAGAAAGAGATGAAATAGCTTTCACCCATTACATGCTGAAATGACAGGAAAAATATTTTTAACCATATCATGCCCCTTTTCCAACTAGGATCACAATCTACAAAAAATTCAGTCTCAGAGGAAGTACTTAAGCAATCAAAAGTTTGTGCCAGATGCACATGATAAAGCAGTGATCAGTGAGATTTGATGAAGGGAGAGAATTACAAACCTTTCACGCCTTGATAGTTCAGTTGTTCTCCCCATCTGGAACATAAATTTCAAGTTCTCAAACAGTTATAAATTCATATATATCTATCTATGATTAAGTACAGAATTTGTGCATCAGAGGAGCATCTGTAACTTACATCAACATCTTTAGCTTTAACATTCTTTTGTTTGACCAAATTTGGATTCTCAATCTCAATAAGCCCTTGGGTACCCTTTCGCTTCTGCCATATCAGCAAAAAAATAAAGGAACTATAAAAGGTGAATAGGACATTAAGCACTTATTGCAAATGGAATTAATGTCATCAGCATTAGACTAAATAAGGGCAAAATGTAATGACCTCAGGCTCTTCTTCCACTTCCTCCTCAGACTCTTCTTCTTCATCCTCCACTTCAGCTTCTTCCTAGAATGAACGATAAAATACCATTTCATCTACCAAGTGAAATGAAGTACGGAAAACAAACACATACACATCCATAAAGCAAAGAAAGAGAAGAATAAGAACAAAGCTAACAATATTCAAGAAAAAAAAAAACTTTAGTTTTCTTATTAAACACTTGACACAAATGATTATGAAGCATGAAAAGGAAAAGAAAACAACCATCACCACATTTATCGTCAATATTATTGAATACTTATGTAACACCCCCAAAGTCATCAAATTTCATAATTTTTCTTTAAATTGAAAAGGAATCAAGCTTAATTTTGATAAGTGATTAAATTGCGAACTTTGAGAAAAATAAGGATGATTAAGCTTTAAATGAGCCATTAAATGCTTGTTTGAATATGTATGATCAATGTTTGTTATTTGTTTGAATATGTATGATCAATGTTTGTTATTTGTTTGAAAGTTTTCTAATTCTTTGTTCTCCGATAGTATATCTGATTCGGTTCCCATCTAGACTGGGTTGTGGTGTTACAACTTATCCATTTATCAAACATATATAAAAGCAAAAATCAAATTTCTTGACTATTAAAAGCATCTAAACGTGAAAAAGAAAAGATAGATCTTCAGACATAAAAAGTCCAATCCAAACTATAATTACCTTGAAAATAAATTATAATGAAGATGAAAACTGACACAAACAATCAAAATACAAGAAAATTACAATATTCAACCTGCCATCCACCTTATAGGAAAAGAGATCAAACATAACTTGACAAAAGTTCAAACAAAGCATCATTTTTGGTTTGTCAAACTTTGTAGTATTTTCCTCTTCATAAGAATCACTCTCAAAGCAAAAATTCACTTCTTTTTGGGCGAAATACAGCTACAAATCAAGATAACAACAAACAAATTTCCATAAGTAAACTAATAGCAATTAAAAGCTAATTTCACCATACATATTATTCTTCAAATATTATAGATTTATAATCACAAGTGAATTAAAATTAGCATAAAAACTTACCTTCTTAAAAGTACGGGGACGAACAGAGGTACCAGCACCTGAAACCATTAAAACATTTGAAAAGAAAAAGTGAGATTAATGATAAAAGTTATAAAACCACAGAAGAAAAGCACAAAGAACTTTTTCGTTTTGGTCTCTGAATTTGATTTAAAGTGCAAATTGTTAGCTGAACTGATTAAAATAAACAAAAGTACTTAACTATACAAAAATTTTGGAATCTAATAATTCATCCACTAGTTGCAGAATCATTTCTAAGTTAATTAAAAACTAAAACTTAAATTTAAAAGTAGAATATTTTGAATTTCAAAGTAATTTTTTTTCTATTTTCTCTGTTTAGCATCTAAAAATTCACATATGCACACACAAAAAAGCAACAAAATAAAAATCAAAACGCTACAGAAACCGTATAGAAATACACAAAAGTACATCACATGCAAACGAATTAAAATACACCAGAACTTTTGAATCTAACAATTCATCCATGAAATCGCAGAGTCCATTAAAACCAAAAACTGAAGTCTAAAAGTATAAAACTTTGAACTTTAAAACAAAAATTTCTCTATTTTCTCTATTTAGCATCTGAAAATTCACATAACAAAAAGGAACAAAATAAAAACCAATACACTAGAGCTACTGATCCAGCAGTTTAAAGCTAGGTTAGATCGGATACCAAAAAACCCTATAATAATCTGTATGATAAAAGCACATGCAAACGAATTTTTTTAAAAGAAAAGTATATAAATACATAAAAAAGGAAAAGAGACAAGAGTATGTACGGAGCTCTTCGGGAGTCGAGAAGTGGCGGTGGCCGGTGGGCTTGCCCTTGAATTTTCCTCTTCCCATAATATTATATGTGTGTATATATTAATAAGCTCAAAAGAAATTGAAGGAAGAAGCAGCTGCAAGCGAGACCTGAAACCAGTGACTGAAGATTTCTTCTTAAATACATAAATTTATGCATTTAGAATTAGATTATTGGGTTAAAGAAACTTTTAGTCCCTAAACTTAGTAATATTTTTCAATATGGTCAATGATTGTTTTTTATCCACATCAAAATATCAAAACTTCAAGAATATTAAATTTAGGAATTAATGTAGATAAATGAATTTCAAGGCATAATATGGAAAAATATATCAATTTCAAGATTAAATTTTTTTAAAAAAAGCGATCAACTTAATTTAATTCTATTAATATCAATGTTATGTAATATACATGAAAAATGTGAGATTAAATATCCTTTAACGTTTAAAAGAATTTGGGCAATGAATATATTTTATAAAAATAAAGAATATCATTAGTTATGTGACATGATGCTATGGAAGTAACTTACGTTGATTGTTATTTAACTAATGATTTTTATCTAATATAGATTATTTTGATGGAAAAAAAATAAAACGTTAAAAGCTAAAATAATAAAAAAAATAGAGGTCAAAATGATCAATTGTGCAACCCTGAGAGTTAATTTTGTCATCATACCTTTAATTTTTTGATCGAGTTTGAGGAACAAAAATTTGACTTGATATGACCTAACTCATAATCATCTTTAACACATGTCATGCTTTAATTGAATAACATATATTTTGAACGTTGGTCAATGAAAAACCTTAAAATAATATAAAAAAAAATATTCATCATCTATCTTAATGAAAAAATACATATTTTAAAAAAAGCTAATTTATATACTTATTTTTTCTATTAAACTATATTTTAAAATGTAATGTACATTTTTTTCTGTAATTTGAAACAATATTTTATTAACCAAAGCAGTCATCATGTAAAACGACAGTATCAATACAGTTTGAACAATCCAACTCAAAATAGAAAGATTGGACAAGAGAGATAGTCCACTGTGTCAAGGCATGAGCCGCTTCATTGGTAGTACGATGGATCGAATGAACTATAACAGGAGGATGAGATTTCAGCAACTGGCGAGTTGCGGCTGAAAAAAAAGTGCACCACTGATAAATATCAGCCTGAGAAACCACGTTGGAAGCATCGCTTTCAACCACAAGACCCGCACATTGTAACTCGGAAGCCAAGCGAATACCATATGTGATAGCGCGAGCTTTAACCAAAGTGGGGTCGCTAATGCTGTGGAGAGGGATTGCCTGCCCAGCAACAGTCAAACCTATATGATCGCGTGCCAGGACACCTACCGAAGCAGCAGAGGAAGCAGAACGAAGTAATGTACAAGGAAATAAGATCAAAACTAGTAAAGCTGTTGTGTGGAACTGAAGTACGGGATTTGAGCATTTTGGAAAATTAAAATTAAGGGTTGGGTTGTTGGATAAATTATTTATTGAGCTAGAAGGGTTATTTATAATTTATTTTAAAAGTTTAAATTTTAACGGATTTTCGGATAATCTAAAATTAAAATTTATTCCATTCATATTCGACTTGATTATCTAGTTTTTTTAGATTTTCGGACTAAATTATCCTAAAATTAAAAATAGATCGAATATCTGAATTTTTAAATTTGATCAGTAAGATCGAATTATTTTATACTGTAGACATATGATTAACGACGATAATTTTATACGAATGCAATAGATTTCAATCTGATCAAAATTGATTTCATATCATCTTTTTTTTTCAGTTTGAAATAAATAAGTAGGATTTTGTAAAATGCAAATTGGTTTTAATTAAGAGTTCTGTGTAGGGTGGAAAATCTCATACCCAAATCAAAGTAATTAATACGTATTATTTAATATATTTATGTTAAATGATTGAAAATATTTAAACAGATATTACTTTGTATTCGGAAAATTCTATAATGAATGTAATGCAATATTCACCATTAATTTTATATGATAAAATTCATAAATGCATTAAACTATATTAAAATTTATCCTTTTAGATACTAAACCTTCACAACTTCTATAATGGACACTAAACTTTAGATTTTGTTACAAAATGAGAAATATCTTATAACTGAACTTTAAATTAATAAGAAATATCTTTTAACTGAACTTTAAATTAATGAAAAATATCTCATTTGATACTTCAATTGTAACTGAAATTTCATTTTACTGTTAATTTTAATTAAAATAATTTCATTAAATTCGTTGAATTGAAAACAAAATAGATGTGAATAAAATAAATATTATTTTTATTACCAATTATAGATATTGAGTTTGTATCATATAAATTATTTGATGCATTATTAAAAGTTAAAGATTATTTCGATTATTTATTTAAGTTTGGAAGTATTTGATTAACTAGAAAAATTCACAAAATTATAATTTTAAAAAATAAAATTTAAAAATAAATTGTTACCATATATATTTTTTCAATTCTATTTTTTAAATTATATATAAAAATAAAATTTTAGTTATAATTGATGGTCAGATAAGATATTTTTTAAATTAATTTAGCATGCTACCTCACCCACTTAACAACATCTAACGTTCAATATTTAATTTTTAATAAAATTCAAAATTTAATGTCTATTTTGTAACTTTTAAAAATCTAATGACAAATAAAATTATTTTAGCAAAATTTAATGATCATTTATGAATTTTTCTCTATTAATATATCAGTAGTGTATATTGGTACATGTCATTAATGTTGTATACGAGTGTAATAGGGTTGTAAACAAGTGAGTTCAAATATTGTTGAGCTCAACTCGGCTCGAAAATTCGTATGCCTAAAATTTTTAAGTTCGAATCAAACTTGAAACCATGAATTGAAACTCGAAATAAATTTTTTTTCTTAAACTCAACTCAATTAATGTCTATTTTGTAACTTTTAAAAATCTAATGACAAATAAAATTATTTTAGCAAAATTTAATGATTATTTAGTAATAGGGTTGTAAACAAGTCGAGTTCAAGTATTGTTGAGCTCAACTCGGCTCGAAAACTCGTAGGCCTAAAATTTTTAAGCTCGAATCAAACTTGAAACTATGAATTGAAACTCGAAATAATTTTTTTTTCTTAAACTCAACTCAATTGAAGCTCAAACTCGCATCCAAACCTGAAATTTTAAATATATGAAAATATTATATTGTAATTTTAAAAAAATCAACACATGAATGCTAATATTATTAATAATTTAATTTTTAAAATAAAATTTAATATATTATTTTTTAGTTACTCGTGAGCTTTTTGAGTCGAGTATCAAGTAGCTCATTAAGAATCGAGTTGAGCTAGAATCGAGTTTAATCTATTTAAATCAAATATATATTTCCAAATTCTTAACTAAATCAATCTCGAATAACTCACAATCAATTTTGTTATATTTACAAGCCTTATAGTAGTGTATATCAAAGTTTAGGGTTTCTTTTTTCTTCCCCTCAGATCCGCTCGCAACTTTCCTTTCCTGTCAAATACCACTATATATATAATTTAGGGTTTCCCTTCCTTTCTTTACCTCAGCCGCTCGCATCTTTCCTTTCTTTTCCTAATCTATCATCTCCTCTTTTCCTCCCAGAACTAAAGAAGAATAAAACTATGCTCTTTTGTGTTTCCCAACGTTGAGCCACCATCTCAAAATCTGTACTCCCACCGTCCTACTCTCTGTGACAGCCACCCCGACGAGAATTTTACTGCATATGTTTAGGGTTTTGATTTCCCCCCCCCCTTATTTCTGTCTTCATTCTAGCGTCGTGCTGCCTGTGCATGTGGGTTTCTCCTACTTCTATTACTAGCGGGAACACTTGCCTCCGCTGCTTATCTTATCAGGAGAATGTGTTGTTGATTTTGCTTAGTGTTAACTATAATTTTTCTATTGGTAGATGTTATAATTTGATCTAAATCTGTTTCTCATTGTTATTCCTGTTTGTTTTTTTCATCATATCGTTAATCACTTGAGATATGGGTAGGCGTGATTCTTCATTTGTTTTCGTCTAATTCTTAATGATGGAAGGAATCTCTCTAATTTTTAGTTTTCCATTTCTTCTTCTTTGGATACCATCCCTACCTACATCGAAGCTTTAAGTAAGAATTCAATGTCTATAAGTGGAAAGCGAATAAATATGCTTGCCTTGTTAATGTTGACGATGCTTTGAATTTGATTAATAAGATGATTGGCAAATACCCAAAGCCTTCAAGTTGTGATATTTGATAAATCACTAGATCCGTTCTTAAGATTTAACATTATGCTATTGTTGTTTCTATACGTTGCCGGATGGAATTATTAGGAGTTCCCCGTGATGTTTATTCTTTAAGCATCTTGTGAATTGCTTTTGTCAATTAGATCAAATTGATTTTTGATTTTCTGTGTTGGTAGAAAATGCTGCTGTTAGGTGTTGGACCTATTATTGTAACTATTTTTACTTTAATAAATGGACTTTGTAATTGAAGTAAGATTTCTTAGGATGTGAGCTTGTTTGATTATATTATTATATAATGAACCTTTTTTATATGATTATAGAATCAAACAAACTCACAGCCTAATGTTGTCATCTTTAATGCATTTGTTGTTGTACATTACATGAGAACCGTTGAGTGGCCTAAGTGCTAAAAGATCAGGGTTCGAGTAGTTCTCTCTCTGTAGAGTGTGTGTGCGTTGTTAATGGCTTTTAAAGTTGAGGATAGTGTTGAAACAATGATAAAGGGAGGCATTGAGCAGGTAAGGACTTCGTCTTTTTCTTGCAATGAAGAAATGTTTATAGTACGATTTGCAAAATTTTTGTGTAACACAGTGCAAGACTTATTCAATGGTGCCTTTTGCAGGATGTATAGGTTCGGTTTTCTGATTTTGGATAAGAGGATGAGTGGGTTAACATTTGCAAGAATGTCAGGCAAAGGTACCTTCAGTGTGGGGTATCTGTGTGCGATGCAGTTCTTCCAAGGGATTTTATACTTTGTTGTCAGGTTGTGTAGTTCTTCTTGGCGATCTTATACTTTGTTTTCAGGTTGATTTCCACTTACAATACCCGATTGAAGACATGTGTATTTCTTTAAACTTTAACCTTTTTGTAGAGTTTATTTTCTGGATGCTTTCATAATTTTCAGGAAGTTAAAGATCGAACTCTTTTCTTCAATGCCATGTCCTTAATGCACGAAGGTGGAGACATGATGTAATAGGTTGTTGTTGTTGTAGATTTTTGGTGCGGTAAGATCATGATGTGTTCGGGATTTTAGTACTGTATTATTGTTGCCAATACATGTGTTTTGTTTTCCTATATATAATTTCATCGCTTGAGCTTTGCATTTTCATGGCTTTTAAGATCTCAGTAATAACATAAACTTTCAACCTATGTTGCACGGGAATGGTAACCAATGCCATTTCAAGAACCTAATATGTCCCTGAGATGCGTATGAGACGGACACAACTGGGTATGTACCAAAGGCGTCCATGTTAAAGGGGTACAGCTAGAATTAGTTGGGTAAGTTGGCTAAGTCGAAGAGTATCGGGATGTCATTTGATCTTTCCATGTGTACATTTAGTGTTTTGTTTTTCTATTGGATACATTTAGCGTGTGTGTGGACTCTAAACTTTTACATGTAACTTCGTTTAAAAATGTCAGAATATATTTTCAATTAGAATCATATTATTTTATTTTTAATTTTTAAAATATTTGAGCATTTTATTTTTATAAAAAATAGGTCATTAAACTTAAAAAAATCAATTTGACTCTCAAACTCGATATTAAATTAATTCAGTATAAATGTGTTACGTCATTAGGCATTAGCTACAGTGGATTACTACATCAGTATCGTAAACCGTCGCATCACTACCATAAATGCCACATCAATATTATACCGGCAACAACATAAATAGTTGATCAAAGGGTAACATTAGTTTTTCTTTTTTTTTTTTAGTTTAAAGATCACATTAAATGTAAAAATAGTTCAATAACTTAATTAATTTCTTTAATTTAATCATCTCTATCAAATCTAATGATCAACTAGACTAAATTTTATAAAAATAATCCTCTTAACATATTTATTTATTCGCAAACTCCAAGATTATTATGATTTCTTTAACGACAACATACTCAGCACCTTAGTCCTACAATACTAAAATGGAAAATGGTGTAGTTAAAATATGATAGTGTCGATAATGTTGGTGATGCTTTGACTTTAATGTAGAGATCGTTACTTGTAACTGCGATCGATTTGTTTATAAGCAATTGCACTGTGATAAGTTAAAAGATTCTGGAAACTCAATCAGTGATAAGGTATATTTTCAGAGTAGTTGATTTCTTCTTTTCAATAAATCACAGTAAAGGATGGATACTTGAAAATAGGAGATCTGATAGGGATTTATAATATATATATATATATATAAATTTATTAAAACTGAGGTTTAAAAGGGAATATTTGAAAATTTTATTTATATTATGACTTGTTCTAAAATGTCCTCCATATGTTTTGGGAAATTTTGTAACCCCCAGACCGATGGGGGTAGCCCAATCCGATCCGAGAAGTCACATTAGGGCCACCGGAGCGACCCATTGTAAAAATAGCGGAAAATTTAAATCTTTTTATCAGAACATGTAAACTTATAAAATCATTTGTCACTATTTAAAAATAAAACATATTTCCAGACTCGTATATAAATCAAAATACAATTACATGCCCCCTAATCACATGTACCATACTCTGCAACAACGCCGGAAGAACTCCCTTACTGAAGTCGATAGATGCACTGGTATAATTCTTTTAATCTGAAAAGGTGAGTAATAGAGTGAGCTTCGAAAAGCTCAGTAATACAGAACTACCAGATAATGCTGATGAACGTGCAGATACAGATAAATATTTATTTCCTTATTGTTTCCGAACATTTACATATTTTTATGCTGAGCAGAGATCCTACTGATATTTCAGGTGGTAACAGACAATGAGCTTTCAGTTCAGAGAAATATTTTGGATGACTGAGTTAAGGAGATCAGAATAGGTTTTCTAGTGTATTCCCCAAAAACCATGTAACTTTTCAGATCTTTTTAAAATATATATATATATACCCCCATCCCAACACAACATAATGTGTAGGTTCCCCAGAACCATACACCCAACCCAACACAACATATAAGGCCCTGAGCACAAAGCCGAGGAACCTGCAGAACTTCTTCCTTCAACAATACCCCCCATTTAAAACATTTCTCCGTCGGTAAACGGAGATATCAAAAATCAAAACATAATTCAGATCATATATCATAACAGAATCCAGGTTAGGAATCAGAACAGATTTCAGATCAGATGTTTAAACAGAATTCAAATCAGAAATCAGATAAAATATTCATATAAGTAGGGAACACACTAGAGTTTCCAGATATTATTTAGAGATACAGGATAATCTTATCGGCAGAGAAACGCAAATCTTCAGTTTACCAATAGAATGCCGAAAATTAGAATCACTATTAGAAGAGTTTGTTAACTGACAAAATCATCGGTTATTCAGGATATGATTCATCGGATCATCTTATTCGTACACTTTTCTGAAGCTCTACGAAATTTGAAGGTATTCTGAATCTTTACAATCTATGACGATTAATCCGATTATCGAACAACTCCAGATGAATAGCTTTTGGAACCAATACTTACCAACTTGTCAATTCATTAACCTTTCAGGGTATTTACTCTTTAATACCAAATATTCTTATCCACAAATCATCATCTGAGTCATCACTGAATAGATCTTAAGGAGACAAGCAAATATTCTAATGGTCTTTATTTATTTCCATGTTCAACTATACCATGAAATGCTGACGTACTTGATTTGTGGTTCATAATCCATAAGGATGATACATCATAAGTTCATCCGAGTTTTCAAACTTATTCCAATCTTACTTAATCCTCAGTCATTGAGGTTACTTAGTTCATTTAACATTCAAGTCCAATCCAGTTACTTCGGGATTTTCCAGAATAATTTAAACGTTCCTGAATTTCAGATACATGTTGTACTTCCATTCCATTCAATTTGGTCTTCGTGGTTGATTTGTCGAACAAACGTCCAATTCCTAGTACTGAATACGATCTAGATCTGAGTTGAACTGAATACTTCCAAAATTTGTCATCGAGCCAAACTTGAGAAGACGAACACATGTTCCAGTAATATCTATGCCTAATTAATCCAAGATATTTACTTAATTTTATGCCATAAGGGTATTTTGGTAATTTTGATATTCAGTTTTATTCCATTCATTTCAGAGCTCGAGGATATTCAATCATTCCTGAGCTTGGTGATATTCTTGGGTCATTTCCATTACAGGGGTATGTTGGTCATTTTACAGATCCACGGTATTTCAATCTTTTTTCTCCATCCAGTCTTATTATTTAATTCCAATTATATCTTTTCCTCCATCCGATCTTATTATTTAATTCAATCTCATCATTTGTTTCAGTCCTTTCGAATAATGACAGCAGAATACCCCCGATAAATTATTCTTCAGTATTTACTCATTTCTCGGATATTTTCGGGTCAAGTGCTTCTCAGATTTTACAAACAGAATATCATGAATTTTCCTGCACTAAGTCAGGATCTTAACAATCAAATCTGTACTAATCGAGTTAAGTACGAATCCTCTAAGTATTTTCTCATTCAGGGTTAACTCAGACTATTCTATCTCTTAAGGGCATTTCTATAATTTCTTAAACCAGATAAGTTCGATTATAGCTCTTAACGAAAATAATATAATTTAGAGATCCTATGATTAATTGCTTTCTTGAACACTCTCTGATCTTGAAATAATTCCCTTAACACACTTCTAGTATCTTGTATAAACCCTCTTGGGTTAAAAAACCGGTTACCATAATTTCTAGTATAACTATCATTTCTATGCACATCAATATATTTATCGTATCAATATGTCTTTTCAGATTATTAGTCCACTTCTAGGACAATTCTTATCATTTTCCAATATAAGGGTAATTCGTATTTTTACCATACCGAAGTATTCTCATAATTCCCATCCAAGTACTTTAACATTTAATCCTTGATGATATAAAATATAATTACAAATCCATGTCTGATTTCTTTATCATATTCACAAAATTGTAATTTAATTCTAACAATCTTTCAATCTCATATAGTCATTCGATCCGTATTCAGTTACAGAATTTCTACCACATTCATATCGAGTGAATAAATTATTCAACTCCACAAAAGTGACCAACATTATCTTATTCATGCATTTACCAATATCAACATGTTCCATAAAGCATAAAGAGGTAGTAAAGTATTACCTTGATTTCCGTGCAAAACTGATCGACCATAAAAATTCCATTCGAACGCCTTTGATCTTCAATTCAACTTCCAATAATTCCTCAAAAACATATCAACATAAATTATATCAGAAACGGAGCTTAATTACGATAAACGGATCGAATCGGGTGATAAATTAGTGGAAGACGGCTTACCGGGTTCGAATTTGGCGAAACGGACTTCGGATTCGGATTCAGGACGTCGAAAGTATAAAATATGACTTTTCGAAAATTTGGAATTTTCGGTCAAAATCAAAGTCAACGGGGTTGACTGACAATTTCGAGGCATTCGGGTTTGAATTTCAAAAAACGGACAGCGGAATCGGATTTGGAACGTCAAAAAATGTCAGGATAGGTATACTCGGTCGAAGTCAAAGGTCGTTTAATGCCCGATCAAAGCCGGTCAAAGTTTTGGTCAACAATGGTCAACTCCGGTCAACGGTCAACGGGTTAACGGTCAACGGTCAACGGGTCGGGTCGGGTCAACGGGTCGAGTCAACGGGTCGAGTAAACGGGTCGGGTCGGGTTGTGACCGGTCAAAACAGTTCCAAAACCGGTCAAACCGGTCACTTTTCCCTTCCCACGCGCAGTGGCTGCGCGTGGGGGCACGTGAACAGTGATAAAATCCCGGAAAAATTTCTAAAAATTATTTTGAGCGATTTCGAGATACTTACAAAGCTCGGTTCACAATTTTGAATGGCGGAGAGCTCGATTTCAACAAATCGGGAAGTTTGACCGGTTCACCTCTCAACGCGCCGCCGCCGTCGGAGAAAAAGGAGAACACCGGTGGACTCGGAACGGCACAAGGAACACGATGGTGCGGGAGGTGTCGTAAACGGATGACCCGATCATCGTGAATCGATGAAAAACCAACTAAAACTGAGTTATTACCGACGATACTTCCGACTGAAATTCACGACGAACGGCGATGATTCACGACGAAAGGTTTGAGGGGTTTTGTTCCTCGGTTGACAACGAACACGATGGTTGTTTCGGCTTGTCGTTTGGAGGTCGGACGGCGAGTAGATCGGAGTTGGAAGTAGGGATCCTGCACTTCTTAAAACGGTCTGTCAACTTTGAAATCTTACAATTTAATCACTTATTTCTTTCAAAATACCAAATTAAATCCACCAATTTATATTTTCTTAAATTTAGCCCCTAAATTGGGGTGTTACAAATTTAGTTAAAATTTTAAAAATAATACTTATATTAATTATATCAAGATATGATAGATGTTATAATATAAATTTCAAATAGATGAATTTAAAATTAAAATTGAATTAGATAACACACTGCAAAATATTATTCACATGTAATACACGCTTGAGGGATTAAGCATGATATGATAAATTTCAAATAGATAAATCAAATTAATTATAAATCTATAAAAATATAAAATTTAAATTTTCTTAAACCACATGTAATACACGCTTGAGGGATTAAGCATGAGATGATAATAGATTATTATTCACACATTAATTGTTATGTCAGTAAGGTTAACGACCATGTAAATAGTATAACGATCAATGATAGAAATCGTCAGTCCAAGGCCACGTTTGGGTGAAAACAATGAGGGGCTTAATTGATATTTTATAAAACTTCAATGGCCTCTTATACCATTTAGCCAATATTAAATTATAACTTTATATTAATATTTACATATTTGTATAATTAAGTTCAAATAAAATATATATTTTAAAAATCATTTAAAGTATATTTGGGTTAACCTCCGAACTAAAAATCGTAGTTATGATTTTTCTACACTTATATTTTTTAAAGTAATTATAAAATGTAATGGAACAGAGGAACAATCAGGTTTCGTGGTGTAGTTGGTTATCACGTCAGTCTAACACACTGAAGGTCTCCGGTTCGAGTCCGGGCGAAGCCAGATGGTCATTTTATCCAGCTTTTTTCTATAAAAATAGAAAAGGAGGAAAAACAAAGCATTCGCCGTTGCCGGGGATCGAACCCGGGTCACCCGCGTGACAGGCGGGAATACTTACCACTATACTACAACGACGATGTTATTCGCAGGTTTGTCATTAATTTATGAAATCTATTTAACAGAGTACTTGGACATGTTTGATGATCACAATTTCAAGAAGAACACTCTACTTCTATTATTTCTTATGTCAAAACAGATTTTAGTAATTTGTTTATTTATGTCATGTTTTTATATATTTTATATAAACATTTAGTTTAATCGTGTATATTATTGTTAATTATATAAATTAAATTCAAGATTAGGATTGTTTTTGAGTTAATTATACTTCTTACATGTAAACTTAAAATTTTAAATTATTTCTTACAAATAAATAAATAAAATTATTGTGAATAGTTTAATATAAATATAAAATTGTTCCATTAACAAGCATATCGACAACATCATTAAAATACACCAATAAAAATAAATAAAAGAAAGTGTATATGTGAATCACCTTTAAATATTGTATTTAGATGTAGTTTTATTTTTCTAATTACATAAATAATTGTTTTCAGAAAAATGTTTAATGCATGGGTCGATACTTCTATAGTGATTCCCACGTATTCTCCTTTTAGAGTTTTTTTTATTTTATTTTTCTATCATTAAAATAATTGTTTCAATACTTCAAAATAATCTAATAATCAATAAATTTTTAATTTAATCACTCAACAATAAAATAAATCACAATTCAATCTTTAATATCATCAATATCATTTTTTTCATCATCCATTAATAAAAATATTTTATAACACCTTATTTTACAATTTTCCCCTACTGTAATTTCCCCTAGTTTATTTTATAATTTTGTAATAGAAATTTGACATTGACCGAAGGGTTTAAACGACCCTCGCCTAGTTTCATTTGCCCTTGACAACTTTTATATTATTTATTTACAGGTGAGGCGTGAAAGAAAAATCAGTTGTTAAATTGGTGCCTCCACCATTTCAAGCTCAGCTCTTTCTTTTTCATTTCAAGATATGGGTAAGCTTATTTCTTCTCTTATTCTTCGACCTGTTGTCAATGCCCGAAGGAATCGCTCTATTTTCCACCCTTCTTTTTCTTCTTCTTCTGTTAACCCCTTTGCTACCAACATCGATGCTTTAAATAAGAAATCCGTCTCTGTAAGTGGAAAGGGGAAAACGAATGATGGATTCGATAGTGTTGGTGATGCTCTGATTGTGTTTAACAAGATGATTGACAAGTACCCAAAGCCTTCCACCGTGGAATTCAATAAACTATTAGGAGCCATTGTTAGAATGAAACATTATGCCATTGGCGTTTCCTTGTATAGCCAGATAGAATTCCTCGGAGTTTTCCGCGATTTTTATTCTTTCAACATCTTGATTAATTGCTTTTGTCAATTGGGTCGGGTTGATTTTGGGTATTCTGTTTTGGGGAAAATGCTGAAGTTAGGTGTTGAACCTGATATTGTAATTTTCTCCACTCTGATTAATGGACTTTGTAAGCAAAGTAAGATTTCTCAGGCTGTTAGTTTGTTTGATGAAATGTTGAAAAGGGGTATCAACCTAATTTAATTGTTTACAATACAATTCTTAATGGTTTGTGTAAGATGGGCAGTACAGATAAAGCTGTTAGGTTTCTAAGGCTGATGGAAGGAAGAGGTTTCGAACCCAATATTGTAGCATACAACACTGTCATCGACTGTCTTTGTAAGCACGGGCTGCTAAAGGAGGCTCTCGATCTCTTCTCTGAATTGAAGGTTAAGGGCATTAGACCAAACACCGTTACTTACACTAGCTTAATTCATGGTATGTGTAATTCGGGTCAGAAGATGGAGGTAACAAGACTGTTGAATGAAATGGTGGATAATAATATTAACCTCGATATTGTAACATATAATATATTGATCGATGCATATTGCAAGGAAGGGATGATCTCTGAAGCTGAAGATATTGTTGACACAATGATAAAACAAGGCATTGTGATGTTTTCACATATAATGCATTGATTGATGCACATTGCAAGGAAGGAACGATCTCTGAAGCTGAAAATATTGTTGACAGAATGATAAAACAAGGCATTGAGGCTGATGTTGTTACCTATAATGCATTAATAAATGGTAATTGCTTGCAAAACAAAGTAGATAAAGCCAGAGGAGTTCTAAAATTGATGATTGAGAATGGTTGTACACCTGGTATAGTTAGTTACAACACATTGATCAATGGATATTGCAAAGCTAAAAAGTTAGACAAGGCAATGGAACTCTTTCATGAAATATCTCAAAAAGGACCAATCCCGAATAATGTCACATACAGCACTCTCTTATGCAAAGTATGTTCCAGTTAGGGAGAGTTTCAACTGCACGTGAACTTTTTAGGAAGATGCTTGCTTCTGGACATGTTCCAGATATAGTGACCTATTCGATTTTGCTGGACGGTTTATGCAAAACAGGTAAACTCGGGGGCTTCTTCAAAATGGTTATACCTTGAAGGCAACACATGTTCTTGAATAAATGGTGGGTAAGGGCTTCTATGCAGATATTTGCAGTTCCACTTTATTTGTGAATCTCATCTTAGGATCTGATAAATCAATCTTTATGAAGGTTTAACATTTAGTGTAGAGATTGTTACTTGTAATTGTGAATCAATATATTTACAAGCAATTATGCTTGTGGTAAGCTAAAGATTCTGGAGACTACAATCAGTGTTTAGGTCTATTTTCAATTTGGTTGATTTTCCTATATACATCTGTTGCAATGGCGACCACTCCTTTAGTACAAATTATACCGTTTTCTAGTAGTATTTGAATTAACACTACGCCTTCTCTGTTCAGTTGGGGCTAGATAGCCTTTTTTATGTTTCTTTATAGATGAGAGCACAAGTTCTTCTGGTAGTGCCACCGCCGTTTGTGGTTCCATTTCAAGCTCATCTCTAGCTTTACAGAAGAAAGAATAAAAAGTAGAGTGCTCTCCTTGAAATCATTATTATTAAACATGTCCACGTACAATGAAGTCATCATAGTACAGTGGTAAGTATTCTCGGCGATTTAACCAAACGATATTGTTTAACCGAATATTTACCTTTTTTAGTACCGTTTGATATATATTTCTCGAAGTGGGCACCCTTTCGGTTGAGCTGGCGAAAGGCGCGTCCCTGGGGACGCGCTTTACCCGTGTTTTCGCTGAGTTGGATGCCACGTGTGGAAAGCGCATCCCCGGGGACGCGCCTTCCATTAAATGCCATAAATGCCCCCATCCGTTTTCCCTAACTACCCCTCCTCCTCTCCTATATAAACCCCCTCAACCCTCCTCATTCTTCACACCAAATCATTCTCCTCTCTTATATAACTCAATTCTCCAACTATTGAGTTTTAAATTTGTTATTAGTGGTAAGAAATTTATTTTTATGTTAGTATTTTTTAAATAGTTATTATATTTTATATTAATATATTTATATAATATATTTTTTTTTAAAATAATATTATAATTATTATTTATTTAGAATTATTAATTTTTTGTGTGCTAATTATATTATTTTGTCTACAGTTATAATGGAAAACGAAATGTTGCTGCGATTGGATATTGATTATATCTCCAGACATTTTAGCGATATGGTAATATTTTTTATAATTATTGTTAATATTTAAATTTTTTATTTAAATTATTATGAATTTTATATTAATTTTAATTTTTTATAATGTATATTATTTAGGATACTGATCGTATTTTAGAGACTTTTATTAAAAATCCACGTATACCGACACCGAAACGTATTTTGCCATATTTGGCTTCTGCCGGGTTCGGGTATATTGCAACAATTATTGGCGGTTGCAAACTCAAACCTGTCCTAATTTCTGCACTGATTGAGGGTGGAGGCCCGGGACACACACTTTTCACCTTCTATGTGGAGAGGCCACAATTACATTGGAGGATGTCTCTATGCATCTGGGGTTTTCCGTCGACGGAAATATGATGTGTGGTATGGCGGATGGTGATTGACAGTCAATGTGCATTGATTATCTTGGAGCTGCTCCGCCAGAGTTTAATGGAGGTAGGAGCTTTATTTTGGTTGAAAGCTAATTTTGAGGTTTTAAATGAAAATGCTTCAGAGGATCAAGCAAAGGCATGTGCTCGGGCATATATTCTACGAATAATTGGAGGAATATTGATGCCCGACAAATCTCGCAACCAGGTGCATTGTATGTGGTTGCGGTATCTAATCGATTTTGATGAAGCTGGAAGATATAGTTGGGGCACTGCAGTTTTGGCATTTCTCTTTAGATAAATGTGTCGGGCGACGAATTATAAGAAAACTGCTATCGGTGGATGTCTCCTGCTTCTACAATCATGGGCGTGGTTCCGCATGCCTTTCTTATGCCCGATCGTGAATGAACCATACATATTCCCCTTATTGTTGAGGTAATTTTCGAACTAAATTTTGATTTAAATATTTTTAATTAAATAGGGTGATATTTAGTTTTATATTATATTTCATAGGTGGGATGATGAAAGAAAGAACCATAAAAGTATACATACTGGGTTAGAGGAAATTCGTTTACTTATTGATACGAAAACTGGGTCTGAGGTATGTTTTTAATCTGTTAAATATATATTTTAATTTAAAATACTAGATATAATTAGAATATTTTATTTATTTGAATTGTATATTTATATTTCAGTTTCAGTGGATACTTTATGCGAGAGATGAAGTGAAGGATTGCATCTCACCCCACCTTAGTGGGTCATTAGAGGTATGGATATCGATTATACCTCTTATATGTTATGCTATTATTGAGTGGCATCTAGTTGATTGCGTGCTCCGTCAGTATGGTTGTACGCAATATATTCCTGGAGCACCTAGGAATTTAGACGGCGTGCATAACATAGATAGACGAGGAAAGAAAGAGGTTAACTGGGTGGTGAGACACAGAGATTGGATTGCGCTTTGGGAGAACCGATATACACTGTTGGCCCCTCGACAATATTACGCTGAAACTGGTCATATGGTTACGGATAACTATGTGGACTGGTTTAATGAAAATGGGAAGTCGTTTCTACTTTCGACGGAAGCACGAGGGGTTAACATTCCTAGGCGCCGAGAAAGACGTCAACCGTCTCAATATCATCATCCCCCGACGTGTGGACGGAGAGAAGGCGCTACCGGTTCTGCATCAGTCCCACCACAACATCCTTATCCGTCGATGCCGCATGGGTACATGCCCAGCCCTCCACTTCATATGCCAAGCTCACAATTCATATGCCATCTCCGCAGGGTTACATTCCGAGCCCGCAGGGTTACATTCCGAGCCCGCATGTTACATTCCTAGCCCGCCAGGTTACATGCCTAGCCCGCAGGGTTTTATACCATATGGAGGTGCATATACGACTATGTTTAATGATCCAACATATGATTCATATGCATCTTATTTGGCTGGTGGTGCTTCTCCGCAGACACCTCAATCTCCATCTGGATCACAGACATCGATGTCAATGTTTCCACAGTTTTCACAGTTTCCGGTAAGCGGTGGGATTGTTACTAGCACTCCTCCAGGATCGTTATTTTATACAGGCCCTTCAGCCCCTTCAGCGTCATCTACACCAAATGAAGAAAATGATGCTGATGATGATAGTGAAGATGAGGAGACTGAAGAACAAGTTCCACAAAGAAATCCTCCACGAAAGAAGATGAGGAGACTGAAGAACAAGTTCCACAAAGAAATCCTCCACGAAATAAACAACCACCGCCATGTGGAACTCATTCGAGAAGACGACATCGATGATCCAATTGTATTTTAATGTTATTTAAATAGTTATATTTCAGAATTTTATGTAATTTGGTTATGTTATTTAAATGTTTTATGGTTGTTACATACATATTTTTAATGTTGTTTTTTATTCACATTTAACATTAAATGTTTGATAAATGTTTTTAAAATACAAATTATATTATTCAAAATTTAAAATAAAAATAAAAATAATATTATTCGAAATTTAAAATTAAAATATAAATTATAGTATTCGAAATTTAACATTAATTTCAACTTAATATTCCAATTGTATTTGAATTAAAAGTATATTCCAATTATAGTTCACAATACTTAAATTGAATTAAATTTATCCATATATGATTTTATCAACATATATATTAAAACGTATACTTAAAATCAACTTATCACTTCACATTTATTCGTAAAACATCTCGATGCTCATTCCATACAATTTCAATGTCACAATCACTTATCACTTCACATTTATTCAATTTATCCATAACATTTTATCTAATTTATTCAAACTTCACATAACGTTTTAATTTAAGTTATGAACTTAAATTAATCTATATGTATAATTTATTCTTGACTTGCTGAACTTTCAAAAGAAGTTAAATTTTGGTTATAATTTACTTGATTTCACAATTCATCTAGTGTCCCCGAGGGACATGAGTGACATAATAGGGTAATGATAAACATATTCTCTGACAAATAATGGGCGCACCCCCGGAACGCGCCTTAAGTCCCCTGAGAAATAATAGGTAATGATAATAGTGTCCCCGAGGACATGAGTGACATAATAGGGCAATGATAACATATTCTCTGAAAAAATAATGAAGGCGCGCCCAGGAACGCGCCTTCAAGTCCCCTGAGAAATAATAGGTACTGATATTAATAGTGTCCCCGAGGGACATGAGTGACATAATAGGGCAATGATAACATATTCTCTGACAAAATAATGGAAGGTGCGCCCCCGTGAACGCACCTTCAAGTCCCCTGAGAAATAATAGGTACTGATATGAATAGTGTCCCAGAGGGACATGAGTGACATAGTAGGGCAATGATAACATATTCTCTGACAAAAAAATAGAAGACACGCCCCCGGGAACGCGCCTTAATGTGAATAGTACTCCGATTATAGACACTATTATATGCAACGTATTATAAACTTTCAAAACAAACTTCAGTTCACAAGCTTTCGAATTCTTAAATTCTCAAACTCTAAATTCTCAAATTCTCTGAAAATGAGTCGTCTTTCTGCTGTTGTTTTGTATGATGGAGAAATTAAGGAAGCTGAAGAGGGGGTTGTTTTTGAGTCAGATCATTATATCCCCTTAACCTTGAAGAGAAACATCACAATTGAGGAGTTAATC